TCGATAAAGTGTTCTTCTGTTTTTTTTTCTTTCTTTCTTTCTTTCTTTCTTTCTTTTCGCCGGGCCGTTCTCCAGAGAGTCTGCAATCGCCGATACAGCACCGAGATCAAAGACCACTCGTCGTCCCGCCGCTCGATCGGTGAGTTCGATGCCTCTACGGTAATCCCGACATCGCGTTATCGCGAAAAACATGTGTAGTATAAAAAAATTGAAACGCAACAAATGTTCCATGATGACTAATGGGAAAAATCAAAACGGAAAATCTGTGTTTATATCAGTCATCAAAATTATTTTATTGGAATTATTTAAGTAAAAAGGAGTGCATCCATTAATAGTTTTTCTTTCAATTTCTTTTCTATTCAGGTTTCTCAATTTTTTTATGGCTTTAACATTGTGCCCGTTTGTGAGTTCCTCTCTTCTAAAATTGAGAATTTGCACAGAGCAAAAATGATCGTTCAACGAACCGAAGAGTCGATCAACAATGCTCAGCGTTGACACTTGACGTGATATATCAGGTGGCCTTGATTTCGGTATTACGTCAGCAAACGCTGGAACTGGAGAACGGCCTGGAACGGGAGGCCTTCGTCATACGAGCCAGCCGCCAGCTGGTCCCTCTCCAGGTGTTAGAGCGTGTCTACGGTGTGCGCTCTCCGATCGGAGGACAGGGGCCTCACAACGAGATTTGCAGGTGCGAGAGGTGAGGATGCAGCGGGAGGACTCTCGCTTATCTTACCGAGAAATCGTCCTCGCTCTTGCCGCGGCATCTTAACGAATGGAAAACAAGTGATGGCGAGTCAGCGTCAAAGAAAGGGAGAGAAAGAGAACAGAGTAGAAACCAGAAGAGCCATTTCGAAGTCGTTTCAGGGTGTGGCCGGCTGTTTTTATCCTGCAACTCTTGTCTCCTCTCGCGATTTTCTCTTTTAGCGTTATTTTTCAATATTTACATAGTGATATAAATTAATTCGTATCGCTAAAAAGATATTCGGTTCCGTAAAATTATCTTTTGAAATTGGTCCGAGTTCGACGGAATTTATATCTGCGAGGTTCTCGAAAGGGGAATGTTGACGACGAGGAGGCCGTGAGTGCGTCGTAGAAAGAGGTCCGAGGGGTCCAAGGGAAACTCTTGTAGAAAAGAAGATAGAGGGAAAGATGTTGAGAGAAAAAAGAAGAGACAGGATCGGAGAGGAGGAAGGATGCGACAACCGAGAGAAATAAGAAATGAGAGAAAGGGGGGGGAGGAGAGAGAGAGAGAGAGAGAGAGAGAGAGAGAGAGAGAGAGAGAGAGAGAGAGAGAGAGAGAGAGAGAGAGAGAGAGAGAGAGAGAGAGAGAGAGAGAGAGAGAGAGAGAGAGAGAGAGAGA